TCATCTGCATATCACAGACTGATAATGAGTCTTCTCCAATCCTGACGCCCCATTCTTCTTCATATAGTTCAGCTTCTTGGACTATTTGCTCAGCATACAGACTAAGTATGGTGAAAGGATACAACCCTGACACACAGCTTTCCTGACTTTAAACCACACAGTATACCCTCGTTCTGTCCAAACGAGTGCCTTTTGGTCTAAGAACAAGTTCCTCATGAGCACAAGTAAGTGTTCTGGAATTCCCAGTCTTCGTAATGTTATCCATAATTTGTTATGATCCACACAGTCAAATGCCTTTGCATAGTCAATAAAACACAGGTAAACATCTTTCTGATATTCTCTGCTTTCAGTCGTGATCCTTCTGATATCAGCAATGATATCCCTTGTTCCAAGTCCTATTCTGAATCTGGCTTGAATTTCTAGCAGTTACCTGTTGATATACTGCTGCAACTGCTTTTGAATGATCTTCAGCAAAATTTTATTTGTGTGTGATGTTAATGATATTGTTCAATAATTTCCACATTCTATTGGATCATCTTTCTTTGGAATGGGTACAAATACAGATCTCTTTGAGTCAGTTGGCCAGGTAGCTGTCTTCCAAATTTCTTGGCATAGATGAGTGAGCACTTCCAGTGCTGCATCCATTTGTTGAAACATCTCAGTTGGTATTCTATCAATTCCTGGGAGCCTTGTTTTTTGCCAATGCCTTCAGTGCAGCTTGGACCTCTTCTTTCAGTACCATCAGTTCTTGATTATATGCTACCTCCTGAAATGGTTGAACATCAACCAATTCTTTTTGGTACAGTGACTCTGTGTATTCCTTCCATCTTCTTTTGATGCTTCCTGCATCATTTAGTATTTTCCTCGTAGGATCCTGCGATATTGCAAGTTGAGGCTTGAATTTTCTCTTCAGTTCTTTCAGCTTGAGAAATGCCCAGCATGTTCTTCCCTTTTGGTTTTCCATCTCCAGCTCTTTGCATATGTCATTATAATACTTTACTTTGTCTTCTCCAGCCACCCTTTGAAATCTTCTGTTCAGCTCTTTTACTTCATCATTTCTTCTTTTGCTTTTGCTACTTTATGTTCAAGAGCAAGTTTCAGAGTCTCTTGTGACATCCATTTTGGTCTTTTCTTTCTTTCCTGTCTTTTTAATGACCTCTTGCTTTCTTCATGTGTGATGTCCTTGATGTCATTCCACAACCCGTCTGGTGTTTGGTCATTATTGTTCAGTGTGTCAAATCTATTCTTGAGATGGTCTCTAAATTCAGCTGGGACATACTCAAGGTCATGCTTTGGCTCTCGTAGACTTGTTCTAATTTTCTTCAACTTGAACTTGCATCGGAGCAATTGATGGTCTGTTCCACAATCGGCCCCTGGCCTTGTTCTGACTGATGATATTGAGCTCTTTCCATAGACACAGTCGATTTGATTCCTGTGTATTCCACCTAGCGGGGTCCATGTGTATAGTCACTGTATATGTTGTTGAAAAAGGTATTTACAATGAAGAAGTCGTTGGTCTTGCAAAAATTTACCATGTGATCTCCAGTGTCGCTTCTATCACCAAGGCCATATTTTCCAACTACCTATCCTTCTTTGTTTCCAACTTTTGCTTTCCAATCACCAGTAATTATCAATGCATTCTGATTCATGTTTGATCAATTTCAGACTACAGAAGTTGGTACAAATCTTCAATTTCTTCATCTTTGGCCTTAGTGGTTGGCACATAAGTTTGAATAATAATGTTATTAACTGTTATTCCTTGTAGACATATGGATATTATCCTATCACTGACAGCGTTGAACTTCAGTATAGATCTTTAAATGTTCTTTTTGACAATGAATCCAATGCTATTCCTTTTCAATTTGTCTATCTATTAATAATCAGAGCGTGGAATGTGTGAAGTATGAATCTAGGAAAATGAATCCAGGTTGTGCTGACTTCCCCCATCTTGTGTATTGCTTTTCCCTTCACCAAAATTAACACGTGTCTATTATCTAGTTAGTGATTCTCCCTCTCCCTTTCATCCCTGGTAACCATTAAGAATGTTTCTTTCTGTGTGTAAACTTTTTCTTGATTTTTTATAATAGCGGTATCATACAATGTTTATCGTTTTGTGATTGACTTATTTCACTCAGCATAATGTTCTCCAGATTCATCCATGTTGTGAGATATTTCATGGATTCATCATTATTCTTTATCGTTTCATAGTATTCCATTGTGTGTATGTACTACAATTTGTTTATCTATTCATCCATTGCTGGGCACTTAGGTTGTTTCCATCTCTTTGCTATTGTGAATAATGCTGCAGTGAACATGGGTGTGCATATGTCTATTTGTGTCACAGCTTTTATTTCTCTAGGATATATACCTAGGAGTGAGATTGCTGGGCCACATAGTATTACTTGGATCAACAATCAATGACCATGGAAGTAGCACTCAAGAAGTCAAACGACACATTGCATTGGGCAAATCTGCTGCGAAAGACCTTTTTAAAGTGTTAAAAAGCAAAGATGTCACTTTAAGGTCTATGGTGCTCCTGACCCAGGGCATGGTGTTCTCAATCACCTCATATGCATGTGAAAGCTAGACAATGAATAAGGAAGATCGAAGAAAAATTGACGGCTTTGAATTATGGCGATGGCGAAGAATATTGAATATATCATGGACTGCCAGAAGAGTGAGCAAATCTGTCTTGGAAGAAGTACAGCCAGAATGCTCCTTAGAAGTTAGGCTGGCAAGGCTTCATTTCCTGTACTTTGGACATGTTTTCAGGAGGAGGACATCATGCTTGGTAAAGTAGAGGGTCAGAAAAAAGAGGAAGACCCTCAAAAGATGGATTGATACAGTGGCTGTAATAATGGGCTTAAGCATAACAACAATTGTGAGGATGGCGCAGGACTGGGCAGTGTTTCATTCTGCTGTACATAGGGTTGCTATGAGTCAGAACCAACTTGATGGCACTTAAAAACAACATGTTATTTCTATTTCTAGTTTTTAAAGAAAGCGACATACTGTTTTCCATAGTGGTTGTACCATTTTACATTCCCATTCCCACCAGCAGTGTATAAGAGTTCCAATCTCCCCACAACCTCACCAGCATTTATTGTTTTCTTGTTTTTTTTTTTTTTTTTTTAATCAGTGCCGTTATTGCTGGGGTGAGATGCTGTCTCACTGTAGTTTTTATTTGTATCTTTCTAATGGCTAATGATCGCTAGCATCTGTTCATTTTTGTTAGCCCCCTGAATGTTTTCTTTGGTAAGTGTCTGTTCACGTCCTTTGCTCAAGAGATAGTCCTAAGGGGTCGTTCATACCCCGAAGTAACCCTAATGGATTTCAAACCCAATTCAACCTCCAGGGTTGAATAAAAAAAGTAGCAAACACTTGGAGGGGGGGGTGGCTGGGAAGGTCTGAGATTCTCAATTCTTATCACTATTTTGCATTGAGGTATTGATTGATCTCATTAAAAATATGTGTGTGGGTGTATGCAGGCAAACACATGCGTGTGTGTGATGGACACCTTATCACATAGTAGTTTATTAAGTGATTTAGACAGTAACCTAATAAGCATCTGATGATTTCAAAAAGGACAAGAGAGTAGGGGTAACTTGTTACACTAATTCTCAATAGTTTCCTAGGTCTTTTCCTCTGGGGCAGTGTTTTGAGGGATGGAAAGGAAGGAAAAGTAAGGGAAGAGGGAAGAAGAGAAGGAAGGAGAAAGATAACCCCTAACTGGACTCTGTAACAGGCACAGGGCACTCCCTGAAGCTTCCTATAGGGGGCGGGCCTGAGCTTGCAGAGCCATCACTCATCTATTTTGGGCCATAAATGAATCATGGCCCACCTTCAAAGCCAGTGGTCATATGAAAGCACTGTTCTTGCAACATTAACTATTAACTATTCCACAGGAAAAGAGGAAAGTTTGACTTGTATTGATTCCAGTTTACTGTTTGCATTAGATCCAACGGAAGCCTCAGTGTTAACCTAGCATAGTAGTCTTCTTGGTAACAGCATGGCCGTCCTAGGCAAAAGTACTTAAAAATACTTGAATTCACTGATACTGTTTGGGAATTACTGCAGGTGTAATAATGACACATTTGTTCAGTTCTTAGCACTTTGTGAGGACACATTTCAAGAAGGATTTTATTTCAAAATTATGAGGCAAAAGGTTAAAATTAAGGCTTAAAAAAATAACCTTTGGAATTTAACCTCTGAGGAGAAAACTGGCAATAAATCTTTGTTCAATATTCTTTTCAGAAGTGTCCTGAGCATAGGTGAACAGTAACCAGTGTGCTCCCAGAGGACAGGGCCTGCAGGAAGTCTGGGTGGGTATAAAGAAAACACAAACCAACTGTGGGAAAGCATGGGAATAAAAACAAAGAAAAAAAAATGGAAAAGGCAACTTGATACACTGGTATTCTTATTATTTCCTCACTCTACATCTCTGTCCCCGCCTTCCACTCTCCTCCAGGCTCTACCCCGGGAGAGGAGGGGATGCCACTCAGGGGTCCTGCCCCTCACCCAAGACAGGCTAACCTGTGATGTGGAACTAACTTTGAAGCCAGAGGAGCTGGTGATTGTGACGCCCTGTGTGCTGTGAGGCTTAACTGAGCAAGGAGCAATGCCTCATTTCTTTGTGGGCTTAAATTCCACAGTTGACGGACATCTTGATTACCTCCCCAACAACCATTCCACCCGTTTCCAATTGTGTAGCTGCCATGTATGAATGGGGCCCCTCCCAGCCCCAGAGTGAGCCCCCATGGGTTAAAGATAACAGGGAAATCCCATTTCCCTTGATTCAGTGATTGGTTTAGGGGTAAACCAACCAGTGTGGGTGCGATACATTCTACCTCTGGCTGCGAAGAAAGAAGCATTGGACCCAGCTGCTGCTCATAGCGGCTTGAAATCTCACAAGGTAAGTGACCCTGAGAATAGAGCTGACACACCCAGAAGGCAGAACTGTGAGAAAATCAAATGACCTGAGACAGGTCCTGACTAAACCACGCCTGAGACCTATCTACCTTGGGATGTTTTCCTGAAGTATCCGTTAATGGTATATACGGCCTTCCTGGGTAAGTAAACCTGGAGAACACAAGTAGATGGTATGTGATAGGTGTTAAGTGGAGGGGGAAAGTGTTCCCTGGCCAAAAATGTTTGTGAAGTACTGAATTAAGCAAAATTAAGCGGGTTACTTTGCAGCCATTTATAAACTAACGTATATTATAAATTTCTAGGAAAGAACTACAATGTGCAGCATTATACAGACTTACTCATCCGAAGAACTAGATGGATTTTTTGTTTGTTTTGTTTTCATTTGTTTTCTGGGAACATCTCCTAGTGGCATTAGTGTTTAGAGGAACACAGTTTGGGAAGCTGAGCTAAGTCATTATCAGGTATTTACACCTTAGTAAGTGAAGTAGCTTGGATGTGAGCTGCCCTTAAGACAAGGACAGGAAGCAGGATTTCTTCCTTCTCAGACCTACCCGGGAGCTCCTAGAACCGAGAGGACTTGCTTACAGGGTGGTTCACCACACTGGCTGTGCATCATAATCACCTGGCTGCTAGAGGCAGTGGTGGGAATCAGGAATTACATGGGAAAAAACAAAACCCTACCTATGGAAAATTTTCCCATCTACAGCCATCACAAGCTCCTGGTTTTCCTTCTCCTTCAATTTTCCCTTCTCAGTGTCACCTCTGGAGCTTCTCGGAGTTCCCCAATATTCTTATTTAGCAGGTCTGGAGCATCCCAGGAAAATTATATAAATATATTTTTGCAATTTGTTTTATGGCGATAGTAAACATCCTCACTTTAATGGTAATGGCAAGTAACCTGGTGGCTCTTGATTTAAGATAATCTTTCATTTTTTTCTTTAACTTTTTATTTTGAAATAATTTCAAACTCACAGAGAAATTGAAATAATAATGCAAAGAACTGCCATATACCATTTGCCTAGTTTCCCCAAATATTAACAGCTGCCACATTTGCTTTATCATTCTCTCTATATATATACATATATATATTTTTTTCATGAACCAATTGAAAGTGATCTGCAGACTTGATGCCCATTACCCGTACAAATGTCGGTGTGTATCTCCTAAAAGACAAAGACCCTCTCCTACATAATAACCACAGCTCAGCCATCAAAAGCAGAAAATGGACACTGATACAGTAGCACCATCTAATCTACTCATCCCATTCAAATTTTGCCTTTGGTTCCAACATATACACACAAAATTTTTTTCCTTCTGTTTCAGGATCCAATCCAGAATCATGTGTTATATTTACTTTTCATGTCTCTTTAGTCTCTTCAAATCTGGAATGGGTCTTCAGTTTTTCCTTGACTTTGGTGACCTTAATATTTTTGAAAATTTCACATCATTTATTTTGTAGAATTTCCCTCAATTTGGGTTTGTATGATTCCTCATGAGTAGTTTATGCATTTTGCCAGCAATATCACCGAAGTGGTGCCGTGTTCCTTTCAGTGTGTCATATCAGAAGACGCATAATGTCAATTGGTCCCATTATTAGCGATGTTCACTCTGATCTCCTGGTCAGTGTCAGGCAGGTGTATTTAAAAGAATAAACTTGTGGACAAATGCCACCATTCCAAGTACGAGAGTCGCTTTTCCTCCAATCCTGCAAAAAAAGATGAAAAAGAATACAGGGTGAAAAGAAAAGCACAAGAAAGGGCATTACTGGGACAATCAGATTTTCTCAGTATAGTAATTTGCTTGATTATGAATGGGAAGAAAAACATGTTTTTTTTTTTCTCTCTCTCCCTCCCTAACGAGAAAGGGCATGTTACGGTTGAGACATTCAGGAAGAATTAAGTTTGCCTTTAAACAGATCATAAAACATGTTTATGCAATATCAAACCAGGAGCTTATTCTTGGTCATGTTTTTTTACTGCTTACTCAGTCATCCATTTGCATGAATCAATTTCAACCTCCAAAGTTATCCAGTGTTATCCAAACATTAATAGTACAGAGGTTGCAAATGGATTGGAGAAATGCCAATTTGGGGTTCGCAATTTGAACTGTGGAGCAGCCAGTTCAAAGGGAAGCAGCACCTTGTGGAAACAAGGCAGATGGCCTTCTAAATACTCAATAATCCCCTGTGGTAGGGGCGGCACCAGAACCTCTATATTGTAGGGGCTTGGGGCAGCAATCTGATTGAAGGGCAGATGGCTGAGGGCTTGTCTTGAACCTATGTCATAGGCAGCATACTTAAAATTTTTAAGTGGTTATAACAGATCAGTAAAAATAACAACTTCTCCAAACATGTTTTTACACTCAGTTTATATAAACCAAACCAAAAACCAAACCTGTTGCTGTCGGGTCGATTCCGAGTCATAGCGACCCTATAGGACCAAGTAGAACTGCCCAGTAGGGTTTCCAAGGAGTGCCTGGTGGATTCGAACTGCCGACCTTTAGGTTAGCAGCCATAGCCCTTAACCACTATGCCACCAGGGTTTCCCCACTTCATATACTCTGAGAAAATGTCCATCATACAAATCAAAGAATATTTTATTTTCATTTGTAGTAAATGGCCTAAACCAATCTGGCCAACAGATGATTATGAGGTAAATTTTGGTATTCTCTACCAACAGTCTTACTCTGCCACACAAGGTTGCTATGAGTCAGAATCGACTCAACAGCACCCAACAACAATGACAACAACAATTGCTAACAGTCCAGTGGGCGTTATTTGATCCAAATCAGTTGGTGTGTCACAATCAAAGTAAATCTCAGAATAGGCCAAACCTGTGCATGCTTATTAGCAAGCAGGCAGGCACGAGCAGTTCTATAATCTCATTATGGCTTTAGGAAGCCCGTTTCTGCTGTTAAATATGCCAACCTGCATCTTACAGGTAAGCAGCAGTCTGAAGAGGACTTGCTGACATTCTTACAGCAGGATTGTATGGTCAGGCATTAGAGACAGACCAGGCAAGAGGAACCTCCATGGAGTGGAGGGACTCAGGGCTCTGAGCCCTGCTTGGCAGGCCTGGGCTACTGGGCTTGCCCAGTTCTTCTCTTTGTCCATTCGAGGTCAATGGGTCCTATTTCACCACTGCTAATTCACAATTTCACCTATAACACATGGTTTGTAACATCTCTTTATGCTAATTAACTACCCTCAGTTGATGATTCACATACGTATACTCCATGTGCCAACTAACCAACTATAATAAGCTGATTTAGATTCAGATATTTTGTATGCTAATTAATTACCCCTTGAGTTGTTAACTAGAGAGCCCTGGTGGCACAGTGGTTAAGAACTTGGCTGCTAACCAAAAGGTCAGCAGTTCGAATCCACCAGCCGCTCCTTGGAAACTCTATGGGGCAGTTCTACTCTGTCCTATAGGGTCGTTATGATTTGGAATCAACTCCATGGCAATGGGTTTTTGAGTTGTTGATTAGAGTTAATGTGCACACAAACAAACCACTTATACTGAAGTATTTTAAAATAAATCAGCACACAGAAAAAAATATCTCACTGTTTTTAGTTGGGGTGGTTTTAGTGGTAGTAGTGTGGCTGGTGGGAATTGTAGGTAGAGATATAGCCGCTCGGTGGCATCACCAGGGGTTTGCTTCAGCTTTAAGGAAGCTCAGAGCAGACTGTAGGACAACTTGAGCCACTCACAAAAAACCTAAAGGAGCCACACAGCGCAGAAACACGGAGCAGGCTTTTCTTGCTATTTTCTCACTACAAATTTCTCATTCTGCTTTTTACAGAAAAATCAGAAAATACAGTTAATAAAAAGAATGTTCAATCCATAACCTAAACCGGCAAGGACTACCAATTTTAAACATACACACATACATATTAAAATAAATAATTTTTTACAAATATGGGATTTTTCTTATTTTTCTAAATGTATTATCAATAGCTCTCTATATCAATGTATGCACTGTATACACTTGAATGGCTGTACCAATTGATAAATCAGTTAAATATATAAATTGGTTAAATATAACCAATCTCATATTTTGAGGCTTTTAGATTACTTTTAACTTGTTGCTCTTACAAGCAGACCTGCCAGTGAACATCCTGGCATAACTCCTTAGTCATTTCCGTAAGAAAAATTCCATTGAATTGGTGGTGGTGTTGCCAAGAGAAATTCATGAAAATTTAAGTTTTCCTTCCTAGTTTATTTCCTCATCCTTAACTACTACTTGTTCATTTTCTCAATACTTCCCAGTAATTTTATCACATTTCCCTACCTGACTCATCCTTCCACTATTTCAGACTTCCCATTCTCAGCTGATGGCCTTGTTTCCTATTTCACTGAGAAAATAAATGCCACCAGAAGATCATTTCCAAAATCCCCACCATCACTTCTATCCATCTCCCAGTCTCAGTGGCCATAAGTCCTGACTTCTTTTCTCTTGCAGTGGAAGAATTAGCTTCCATTTGGGCACTGGGTCCTAGTCCCCCTAGCCTACCCAAGGACATTGCTCCAGTAAGTCTCTTTTCTCTCTCCTGAATCATTAATTTTTCCTCTCATCCTGTGGATCATTCTCATCAGCATACAAACAACTCTTATTTTTCCCATCTTTAAAAACAAACAAACAGACCCCTTCTTTTGGCCCCATTTCCATCTCCAGCCACAGATGTATTTCTCTTCTTCCCTTTGCAACAAAACTCCCAGAAAGAGTTATCTTCATTCACTCTCCATTCCTCACATTCTTTCTTCTTGTCAAGGTCACCAGTGACCTCAAAGTTGCTATGGCCAATGGACAACTTTCAGTTTCATCTTACATAATTAATTAGCAACATTTGACACATCTAGTCAATGCTTCTTCTTTGAAAGATTTTTTTCAGTAGGCTGCAGAACACCACAAGCTCATGGTGTTCCTTCTCCTTCACTTCTTCCTTCTCAGTGGCCCTTGCTGGTTCCTTCTCATCTCTGTGGTCTTAACTTGAGAGTGTTTCAGAGGGCAGAGTGTACATCTCCTCGTGGTTTAAAATCAGTCTGTTGGTGATCTCATCCAGTCTCTTGGCTTTAATATCATAGATATGTTGACAAACTCCCAAATGTATCTCTTCAGCCTCAAGCTCCCCCTGAACTCCAAACCCAACTGCTTCTTGACACTGCAAACATAACATGTACTAAACTGAAGCCCTGATCTTACCCCTTTCTCAAACTGCTCCTCTTACAGACTTCACTATCAGTCAATGGCAGCTCCAACTTGACCACAAATCTTGGAATCTTCTTTGATTTTTCTTTCTCTTTCATAGTACCTATCAAACCTTTAGCAAATTTCATTGGCCATGCTTTCAGAAGATATCTAGTACCAAGTACCATGCCACTCTCACCATCACTCTGATTTGAAATACCATCACATCTTACCTGGATTATTGAAACTGCCTCATGACATGATCTTCTTCCTTCCACCCCTGCTCCCCTAGACTATTCCCAACACAGCCAGAGTGATATTATTAAAGAGTGTGTCAGATAATTCTGCTCAAAATCACACAATGTCTATCCATCTCATTCAAAATAAAAGCCAAGTTCTCGTAAAGACTTTTGGGATCTCAGGTAATCAGGTGGTTGTATTTCTAAACTTCTGATCCTATTACTTGCCTATTGACATTGCAAACATAACTTGCTCTGTCCTCCTGAAGGCCAGGCCTGCTGCCCCTTGGGGCCTTTGCACTTGTAATTTGTTCTGCATGAAAAACTTTCTCTACAGACACCTAAATGGCTCACTCCCTCCTCTCCTTTTGGTCTTTGCTTAAATATCACCTTTCTTTGAGACTTTTCTTGACACTTTTTAAAAATCACCTTCCCCTCAGTACTTCTTATCCCCTCCCCTACTTTATTTTTCTCCATATCGCTCCATATCACCATGTTTTATTTATTTACTTTATTTCCTGGATCTCCTCCCTCCCTGCCACAATCAGAATGTAAATCCCATTAGATCAGGTGATACTGTTTTGTTTGCTGCTGTATTCCCTGCAGGTCCCTGGGTGGTGCAGGGAAAGGTTGGCAGTTCAAACCCACACAGTGGCCCCACAGAAGAAAGCCCTGACGATATGCTTCTGTAAAGATTACAGCCAAGAAAACCCTACAGAGCTCAATTCTACTCTGTAACTTATGGGGTTGCTGTGAGTGAATCTAGTTAACGGCAACAGGTTTTGTTTTTAGGTTGGTATCCCCTGCACCTGGAACTACCCCCAGCACATGGCAGGTGCTCCATAAATGTCTGTTGAATGAATAAATGCTTTTAAAAATTAGAAAAATAAAAGGGGAGAGAAAAAAAAAAAATCACTCGTAACCTCACTATCCAGAGAGCCATCATTTACATGTGTATAATATTACATTATTTTTCCTGTATTCATATGTATTTTTGGTGCAGTCATTCTATACATAGTTTTAAAACCTGCTTTATATGTTTTGATATGCATATACTTTAGAATTTGGACACATAACACCAAATAGCCTTTCAGAAATACCGAGTTGCATCTTGCTGGCAGTGTACGAAAGTCAGCTCTTTGCACCCTCTCCCCAACACTTGGTCGTTTCAAATTTGTTTCATATAGAATCCAAGCAAGCATGATGTCCTTCTCTAGGGATTGGTCCCTCCTGATAACATATCCAAAGTAAGCAAGACACTATGCTTGGTAAAATA